ACACACACACACACACACACACACACATATAATGTGGAAGGAGCACCCATTTCTGATGAAAAGGTTTTGTGGCCTCTTCTGTCTTCTGCCAGTAGAATTATAGATTTAGAGCTGAAAGGAATCTAAAAAGCTCAGCCTAGGTTTGTCATTGTACACATTAGGAAACTGAGTTGCAGATCGAAAGATACAGCTTGCCCAGGGAGACACAGGGAGTAGGTTTCAAGGCCACCTTCCCTGATGCCTGGGTGGGAACCTCCTCCAGTCTCTTTCTGGCTTCCTCAGCAAAGCAGGCAGAGGGACATGAATTATGACAGCAAACTTCAGATTTTTGTTTTCCTGGACTAGATGTTTCATTTTGCAGTTTATTTAGAGCTTAGTTTCTTTTTCTTCCTGCTTTTGTTGTCATTGATGATCTTACTCTAACTCATAAGAGAACAAGAGGGAGCAAGGGAAAGGAGGTGAAGATGACTTATGATGTCACCAACTGTCGAACATCACATCTTACATTGTTGCGCTTTCTTGCCTGTTATATAGGCAGTGAGGCTATTATGTTTGCTCTGTGATATTTTCTTAAGGGCTAGAGAAACTGCATCCTATAAACTGCTTATTTTATAGTTTGCAATATAATGTGTGCACATCAGTTCTTATATGATGAAATATGCAACCTAATAGTTGGGTATAGATTTAAATAAATAGTATAATGCCTGAATTACAACCTAAAATACTTTTCAATTGTGTTTTTCTGTCATTGGAGCCAAGTCTGTTCTTCTCACCCCAAAGAATTGGGTTTGCCCTGCACAGGAATTTGAATGAAATATTTACACTTAATATATGAAATAGCATAAAACTGCAGATATTTTGAGATACCCTGCAGTCATTTTTAATGCATTCAATAGACAGTAATTATGAGTACAAACCATAGCCCAACTTTATAGCCATCAATCATTTCAGATGTGTCTCTTTGAAGGGTGCAGTGATACATATGGGAAGGGATGGATCATTACCTAGGCCAGTGGTTCTCAACCTTCTGGCCCTTTAAATACAGTTCCTCATGTTGTGACCCAACCATAAAATTATTTTCATTGCTACTTCATAACTGTAATGTTGCTACTGTTATGAATTGTAATGTAAATATCTGATATGCAGGATGGTCTTAGGCGACCCCTGTGAAAGGGTCGTTCAACCGCCAAAGGGGTCTCGACCCACAGGTTGAGAACCGCTGACCTAGGCAGTGCTATAAGATACTGATTCCTTTAGACCAGCGATTTTCAACGGGTGGCCTGGAAGAATTTTTAAAACATGCAGTATCTGACTATTGAGTTGAGCACTGACCTCTTTTCCCTTAGATTATCAATGAAAAAATGACAACAGCCACCCTGGCGGGTGTGCCTCAGTTGGTTGAAACATCATCCTGTATACCTAGGTTTCGGGTACAGAAGGCAACCAGTCAGTGTTCTCTTTCACATCGATGTTTCTCTCTTTCTTCCTCTCTCTTTTTCTCTCTCTCTACCCCCTCTCCCCTCTCCCTCCCTCTCTCCCTTTTCCTCTCTCTAAAATCAATGAGCATATCCTCAGGTGAGGATTAAAGAAAAATAATAGCAGCCAATACAACAATAGCATCCAATGTGATGAATAAAAATTATACCTATTTTTTTTGTCAGATCGGTAAAATATATTTTTTGTGTACCGAAGAATTTTAGTACAGTGGGGCCTTGACTTAGGAGTTTAATTCGTTCCGTGACGGAGCTCGTAACTCAAATTACTCGTATGTCAAATCAAGAAGTGAACGAGTGAGACACGTGATGCTGGGCTGATGTTGTGGCGTTCACTGTGACGTTCGCTGCGCCAATTAGCGGTGGGGTATCTGAAGCTGGCTCGTAACCCGAATTTTAGCTCGCAACTCAAAGCAAAAAATCGGCTGAGAGACGGCTCATATCTCGAAAAACTCGTTAGTCGGGAAACTCGTAAGTCAAGGTCCCACTGTAATTAGTTTTGTGTGCCATTAGTTGAAAATCGCTGCTTTAGACTAAGCTCACTGCATTTCATAAGGGAGAGAAGTACAAAGAATGACATAAAAACCATATGGATAAGCTACTTTCTAAATCCTTTTCCCCTCCATCCTTCTCTTCCTTCTTTTCTTTCCTTCTAGCTCTTTTGAGAGCTGTGGTTGACTGGCATCCTCCCCTACCCGCCTTAAGCCCTGAGGATGGCTCCTGAGATGAGCCCCATTTAATACCTCATAGGTCAGATCAGATTCAGTTGGCTGCTTTTTTTTTTGAACTTGAACACTGCAGTTCACGCTTAACTTGGCCTGTCCTGGGAGACTAGTGGCCCAGGCAGTGTTTCTTCATTGCTTGTATCAGCAGGTCTCTTATGCTTCATATCCTGCTCACCCCACTCCTATATTTGAAACTTATGCTATGTCCATGTCTTTGCTTAGGGAAGTGAGAAGCAAGACTCCTTCGTGGCTCTTCTCTGCCCACCTGCCTGATGGTGGGATAGGGTTTGAATCTGTGGTCCACAGGCTGGCTGTGGGTGGGTAGTGGGAGCATGTCTGTGAACTCCTCTGAAATTGAAGACAACACTTTATGTGTATTTATGTGTTTCTGGGCTGAGATTCTGATGAAAGTTGTGGCTTCTCAAAAGATCTGTGAATAACAACAAATTGTTAAAACATTGTTCTTGGGTTTTGCTAAATATACTACTGTGCCAGTGTGTTTCCCACCCAGCTCGCACCTCCAGAGCTTCTAGGGGCTATATTTGATGGGATATCAGGCTATGCCCTCCTGCCCCTCCCCTCGCCTGGATGTAGAGCCAGCTTCAGAGTTTAGAGCTTAGATATCTCTGAGAATGAAGCCTCACTGTTGAGGGTTCAGGGTTGTCCCTGTATACCTCTGGAAGTCACGTGGAGTATCATGGGCCAGTCATGGAAAGTCCAGTTGTAGAAGGGAGTGGAATTTTGGCCTGGGTGCTGGTACTTTCCTGCATTTGATGTGTTGTTCACCCATCTCTATAACCGGTAAGCGGTGGAGAAAGGCTCGGTTGAATGGTCTTTGCTTTTCCTGTGTGGGAAGATGCATTGGTGTCACAGTGGTTGACACTGTCTCCCCAACACTGCCTGGGCCACTAGTCTCCCAGGACAGGCCAAGTTAAGCGTGAACTGCAGTGTTCAAGTTCAGAGAGCTGAACAAAATCATCTTCAGCTTAGCTTTTTTAGACAAGGGGAAGTTGGTGCAAGTGTTCATAATGGTGAGGGATTAAAATGCTCTCTTCTTAGCTTTGCGTATATGTCAGCATTGACTTTTTTCATTTTAGATCTTTACTTGTATTGGAAATTGAAAAATTGGCTTCACAGAAATGTGCTCTGCTTCACTGAGCTCTGTGTTTTTAGCTTATAGCTTATGTTCTTAGCAATAGTGTAATTTTGTTTTTGTGTAGTAAGCATTTTTAAATTAAGTTTTCAAAAATGTATTGTTATGTAGGTCTTTGAACAGCAAGAGGAAGTTTATAATTTAGAATGCAACGTCATGTAACTTTCTCAATGGTGTATGTTGCCTTAATATTAATAAAACTAGAGGCTCAGTGCACGAAATTCGTGCATGGGGCGGGTGGGGGGGGGGGGATACCTCAGCCCGGTCCGCAATGCAAGTGTTCCACACCCAGCCTGGCCAGAGGCCCTCCGTGGCTGGGCACGGAACGCTTGCCTTGTCGCCGGGGCGACGAGGCAAGCATTCCCCCCCTCCCCCATACCCCTCCGGCCACTCCGTGCCCGCTGCCCAGAGGCCCTCCGCAGCCAGGGTGGAACGCTTGCCTTGTCACCACAGTGACGAAGCAAGCATTCCGCCAGGCTGCTCACGCTGCCCGCTCTCCTCGAGACTGGGGGACTCCGGCGGGGCTGAGAGGACTGGGTGCTGCGGGCTGAGAGGACTGGGCGCCGCCATCTTTGTGATGGAGTGATGGTTAATTTGCATATTACACTTTTATTAGATAGTATATGTTACCTCTAGCATAAGAGAAAATGGGAACTTGAATATACACACTGTAACATTACAGAGCTAAACTAAACATTTTCTAAGGAGGAGTTGCTAACAGTTTGGTTTTAAAATTTAATTCAACTGTATAATTGAGGGTGATTCGCATGCCATGGTCGCCAGGAAATCAAGTCACATTTATGACTTTGTCTTACTTTTCTTTACTACTTTTCTGGGTATCTGTATGTTTTCCAGAGGGAACTTTGCTGTGGTAATCATTTAAGTCTGTGTGCTTCAGTGGTCTCTTTTGTGCCAAATGGTAGACACCCCCCCCCCCCCCCAAAAAAAATTGGCACTTAAGATTGGCACATTTCTGAAATGGTAACATTTTATTTATCATTTAATATCCTTTTCCTATTATTGTTTCACTATTTTCCTTTCCCATAACAAAAATTTAAACCTCTAGCTATTTCAGATTCACAGCTTTAAATAAAATTTCATTTTGTTATTTTCAGCTTTAATATTTTGATACTTAAAAAATTTAAAGCGAAAGTTTATTGAGTGAAGTATTTTCTTAAATAAAACTAGTTTTTCTTGCTCTCACACATCTCTCTCTTTCTAGTTGGTAGTTCTTATGTTGAGTAAAGATCTCATTTTGGCTATTAAATGTCTTCTTTTTTTTTTTTAACCATATTGATTGAGCTTTATTGCTTAAACTTAAAAATTACCTTCTCTACAAGGAAATACAGCTTTAGGATAATTTTTAAGGTAGCCTTTAAAGGCCATAATACAATTTTCTTGGTGACCTTAGAAAACTAGCAAGTGTCCTTGGTGGCCATGCAAGTTAGCAAACATTTGTGCACAAGATCTGAATGAAATCTACTTGTGGCTAAAGTAATTTGAATATACTCTGGGCCCTGTTCATCAATTTCTGCTTTGTTTCTTTTGTATATCCCGAAACACTGCCATTTAAAAAATTTTTTTTTCCAACTAGAGGCCTGGTGCACGAAATTCATGTGGAGGGGGGGCGGTCCCCTCAGCTCAGCCTGCGCCCTCTCGCAGTCTGGGACCCCTCGCTCCTTACCACCCGCCTGCTCACTGCTCCTTATTGCTCGACTTGCTGCTCTTTAGCGCTGCTGCAGAGGCGGGAGAGGCTCCTGACACCGCCTCTGTGCTTGCCAGCTGTGAGCCTGGCTTTTGGCTGAGCGGTGCTCCAGCTGTGGGAGTGCACTGACCACCAGGGGGCAGCTCACGGCCCCTGGTGGTCAGTGCGTGTCATGGTGACTGGTCGTTCTGGTCGTTCTGCTGTAACGGTCGCTGGACTTTTATTATATAGATAATCTCACTTTCTGTTTCTGTCTTCCCTTTGATTTCTTTCCGTCCCTCTCCTGTTGGCCTTTGTGGGAATTTGTATTTGTGACTGTATTGAGAAATGTTTGTTCAGAGAACTCCATCTGGGCACTGGTGTTGCGATTGCACTTTGGTTACTTTGTAGATTGAAAAGGAAGAGGACAAAGTATAGCCAACTGTGCATGTAGCACAGCTACAGAATATCCCTGGAGGTAGAATGTTTAATGACTAATAGATTCCTGGTCTGTTAAAAGTAAGAACTGGAAGAGGAACCATGTAGATCAGCTATTTTCAACCTGCATGCTGCAGGAATTTTAAAACATGTGATACCTATTTTGTCAAGGGCACTGACCTCTTCTCCCTTAGATTGTCAATTAAAAAACTGACAACAGCCAACACAAGAGTAGCTGTCCGGTGTGAAACAATCAAAATTATACTTATTTATTTTTTTGTCAGATTGGCCAAAAGTACATTTTTTGGTGTGCCGCAGAATTTTACTAATTTGTTTATGAGTACCATGAGATGATGTAGGTCATTTAGATCTTAGCCAGTCTTCTCATTATGAAGATGAGAGAACTGAGGACAAGATTAGGGAAGTGCTTGCCCAAAGACATGCTTCTGATAATATTTTGAAAGTGATTAACTTGAGTGCTTGTGTTATAGGATCAGAATTTTTCTTTTTTTTTTAAATTATATATTTTGTTGATTTTTTACAGAGAGGAAGGGAGAGGGATAGAGAGCTAGAAACATCCATGAGAGAGAAACATCGATCAGCTGCCTCCTGCACACCTCCCACTGGGGATGTGCCTGCAACCAAGGTACATGCCCTTGACCGGAATTGAACCTGGGACCCTTCAGTCCGCAGGCCAACGCTCTATCCACTGAGCCAAACCGGTTAGGGCAGGATCAGAATTTTTCACATTTGATAAAGCTCGGAACGTGGCCCAAAAGATATTAAATTAGCGAAAGAAGAACTAACACATTTAGTCACTCTTTATTTTAGGTGTTTGATGTATAGGCTCTGGGAATCTGGTTTCTGTTTTTAAACTCTGGCACAGGCTCCATGGGTGACATCACACCTTTTACTTGAAATCTGACTGGAGCCAGAGTATGTGGAAAGTACCTTTTCCCTAATATGACCCCTTAACCCCAGAACATTAAAAAAATCGGCCCACACATATCCCATCACCTTTATTTTAGAGAGAAAAAGGGAATGAGAAATGATTATTGTTTATTAATACTTTGCACCAATGGATATAGTATGAGAATTAATTGGAATAGCTAACTTTTTTGAATGCTGAATATTTTACATTGTGTCTTCCCATAACAATCCTTTGAGGTGGTACTCTTACTGTCCTGGTTACATTTAGGTGCTGAGAGGTGTAGTTACTTTAGTTCCACAGTCATACATACGGCTGATAAGGGCTGCAGTGAGGACCTTCTAACTCTGGGTTCCCACTCCAGCCATGCCACTCTACAGCAGGGTCCCCACATAGTACATGTCCTGCTGGGTAGGCCCAGTGCCCATCAGGCAGAGGGAATGGGCAGAGCCAATCACAGGTTGTGAAAATGTTTGGCTGGGAAACCTTGGACTGGTGTGGGTGTGTGTAGGGAATCACGGAATACTGGCTAGACTGGTAGGTTAGGCCCACATTTTAGACTTTTCTGCTTATTTGGGAGCCATTGAAGAGCTTCAGATGGGGAGGCAGATAGATTAGATTCCCCACCTCTCCCAGCACATCTTCATCTGTCTCTTCTCCCCTCACCCCTTCCTCTTTCTTCCAGCGGTACTAGGCCATGGAGAAGGAGCAGGGGGAACTAAGGGAATTGGAGATGGGAGTATTTCAGTCGTTCACTTAATTCCTTACTGTTTATTGACCTATTAACTCCTCCTTCCTGTGTGCCATTGTGCCTGGAGCCTCCTGTCTTGTGTGAGGATGGGGGTGTGCTGTCATCAGGAAGGAGTATAAGGAATTGAGGGTCTGATCACTCCTTGTGTGAACATCAGCCAGTTTCCTTGTTCTCAGCTCTTGGTGTCTCCTGTACCTTCTGAAGTACTTGGCCTTTCTGGGGTTCTGCAGGGTTTACTCGTCTTCTCTTCGGCAGATGCCCTTCCACAGGCAGCGAGGCTCCCTGTCCTTTGTCATGTACTACTCCTTCGTCCACTTTTGGACTTTCACATGTCTTGTGGTCTCAGCAAAGATAGTGTTTCTGTTTCCCATCATTGTTATGTTGTGGTGTAAGTTAAAGGGGAGAGAAGGCATCGTAAAACCAGAAGTCCCATACTTCATCCTTGTCTAGCACCCTTGTCTCCATTTCTAGTACTTAGTAGGTTCTTGTTAGTTCAGTAAGTGACACTAGAGACTCTTTAGGAAGCTGTTATATAAGTACCAAGTCAGTAGCAGTGGCAGCATAAGAGTATGTGGGACAGTAGGGGTATGCTCAGTGGAACATGAATATGAGGGTCAGAGAGCAGGGGGAGCCTTGGGAGGTTTTTTTTCTTTTTCTTTTTTTTTTTTTTTTTAGCTCTGGTGACTTGTAATAATTGATGCTCGTCTATTGTTATTAGAGTAACTATTGTAAAGTTTGCCTGTGACATTAAGGTGGGCCATCGGCCTGCATACCTATATGAACACTTTTAATAGCACTATATTTATTCTTGAAACTTGATAGACTATGACAGTGCTTCATTAATAAGACACATGCTAAGATGCTTACATGTGTAGATGAGGCATTAATAGACTTGTAATTAAAATGGCCTCAGAGCTAGGTGGCAAATGGAGTGATGTAAAATGTCTCATTTGAAGTAAGAAACTCTGAAGTGGCATGATAGAAACACGAGTATCTAAGATGAAAGACCCATATTTTATCAGATTGTCATTAATATGAAAAAAATTAAACTTTAAATGTTGTATCAATTTTTAAGCACCTGCATTTGTGATAAGAAGGAAACTGTCAGTGCAACAACTTTGAAATGTCTCATTTGGTGTGATTTCAGCGAGGAAGACATGTATCGTGCTGCAGATGAAATAGAAAAGGAGAAAGAGTTACTTATACATGAAAGAGGGTTATCAGGTATGTTTGGAATTGTTTTATTTATTGTTTTATTGTTCTACTGTTTATAGTAGAAAATGCTGTTAAATCCGTATATCCATGTTCATAAAATATTAAGATGTACTTCCTAGGAGATATGCATATGGTCTTAGCTGTGTGCAATTATTCATTTCGCTAAAGTCTGGTGAGTATTGTTTCCTGAGGTTTTAACATTTTATTGAAAGTATTCTTTTCATGCCATTTTTGCACCCGTCAGGATTTGTTGAATCTCTTGACACCACCCTCTCTTAGTTCTTGATTTCCTTACATTCTTGGAGGGGGAGTTTGGATTTGCAATGCAGTTTTCATTTCACATGGGAAGACTAATAGAGAACTGTGTCTTTGCATCAGATGGCCATGTGGATTCACTGACTTGTAAGAAAGAATGATCATGGGATTGGTAGCACTAATTCTCTCGTTTCATGATTTTGTGTCCATGTTTCTGCTCAGTCATGCCTGCTCTTCTCACCCCAATCAGCGCCCTTTGACCCATCATTGCTGCTAGAGCAAGGCATTACATCCTGGCCTCCTCCACTGTGGGCACAGCCAGAAGGGCTGTGTGTGAAGTACCTCCTTACTAGTGCAGGAACCGAGGGGGAATACTCCAATTGGGGATTTGTCATAGATGAGGCACAAGTGGCATTTTCTCTCTTTTTCCCAGTGTAATGTGTGTGTTCTAGTGGTTTGTTTTGAGAACTAGCTTCTGTTTATTTTATGGTTAACAAAAGTATTACCATATGTGTAATTAGGAAGAAATGATACAAAGTAGGGTTTTGTTGACGTTTTCAAGTCTTCCTCAACAAGGAATTGGTGGGACTCCTCACTGGTGGCCATAGGAGATGTTTTTGTAGGGACCTAGTCAGATGTATTCTTGGGCCACACTGTTCTGGTCCTCCATGAAATTGCTGAGGACGCTTGCTTTCTGCTGCTGTAGTTGCACAGAATTCACTTCTGATGCAGAGTTCTTATTCGTCATATGAGAGGCCCAGTGCATGAAATTCATGCACTCGGGAGAAGGGGGTGGGTTCCTCAGCCCAGCCTGGTTTAGGCCAGTGGTTCTCAACCTTCTGGCCCTTTAAATACAGTTCCTCATGTTGTGACCCAACCATAAAATTATTTTCGTTGCTACTTCATAACTGTAATGTTGCTACTGTTATGAATCGTAATGTAAATATCTGATATGCAGGATGGTCTTAGGCGACCCCTGTGAAAGGGTCATTCGACCGCCAAAGGGGTCTCGACCCACAGGTTGAGAACCACTGGCTTAGCGGCTCCTTTTTTTGTGCTCCTTAGTCATCTCAGCATCCATCACAGCCTTGCTTGTGAATGCCTGTTGTCTTTTCTTCTTCAGTAGTTTTTAAACCCATTCAGGACAAAATCTGGGTCGTAAACCTTCATATTCCTAGCTCAATGCTTGATGTGTATTAGACACTCAGTAAATATTTGTTGAATTGAGCTGAATATAGTATTTTTATTTTATGTCAACTTCCTCTGGAGTGGATACATTGTAAGGTTCTTCTGTGTTTATATCCTAATTTCTTTGCTAACATTTACTTCTTCAATAATTTAAAAAGGAAGTCAAGATATGCCTGAGAATTTACTTCCCTTTCTTCCTAAAACATACACATAGATATACGCATGTGAGTGTGTATGTGTAGACCACAAAATCAAACCCCAAACAATAAGGAAAACTAAAGGCCATTTTCTTACTATATCATTTGTCTGATCATAAGTTGTATTTTTAATTTTGTTTTATTAGAGTAAAATGAGGTCTGTGGTTCAACTAACATTGAGAGCCCTTTTAGTTTCTGACTTCTTATCAATTATTGTAGTCTTTGGGGATCAGGGCAGGATATAAATTAATAAAAACAAATACATGTTTTATTACTGAAGTGTTATCTCTTTGTATAATGGATGAGAAAAACTTATTACAAGTAATTAGATGTATTTTCTCATAGCTCAGACTGTTCCATGTTTAATTGATTGGGACAGTATTTGCAGACTCCTGTGTCTGAGCAGCTGCAGGTTCTGGGGACATAGCCAGGAAATAAAATAAGCCCCTGCCCTCAAGGAGCTGTGTTTTACTGTATTTGTGTGTGGGTGTGGAGTGGGGCGGGGTGGGGGAGGGGGGATACAGAAAAAGAAATATGTTGGGTGTTGATCATTGCCAAGAAGAAAAACAACAGTGTAAGAAGACTATAAGTGAAGGTGTGCGACATTATGATATAGGGGTCTCAGAGGTGAGCAGAGGCCTGCATGGAATGTGAGAGCAGGTGCCTGGGGAAGAGCCAGTGTGTTGGAGGAATACAGGGGCGGCTGCAGGTGGAACAGGAGTTATCAGTGAGGGGAGTGGTGAGAGCCGAGTCCAGAGAGGCAGTTAGGCCAGGACAGGGGCCCTTCCAACTGAGATGGGAGGCCCCAGCAGCTCTCAGGACCCAGGAGTGATGGATATAGTTAAAGTGCATCATTCTGGCTGCCATTTGGAGAATGGCTAGTGGGGTGTGTGATAAAGAAGACCTATTGGGAGACCTCTGTCATTATCTAGGAGCGAGGGGATAGTGGTCTGGATCAGGTGGTAGGCAATGGTGAGATCCCAGATTTTTTTGGAATGAAATGAGAGGAAGTAGTCCCTGCATAAAGTAGTACCGTTGTTCTGATTATGCTTTTTTTTTTTTTCATTATTTCCCCCTCTCTTCTTCTGTTTGACTCTTTAACAGAACCTAAATTAAGTGTAGCGCCTGAAATGGATATCATGGACTACTGCAAAAAGGAATGGAGAGGAAATACGCAAAAAGCTACATGTATGAAAAAGGTATAACACCTACATGCACATATTTCAAGTCTTTCAAATAGTCTGTCATAGTAATTATTTAGTGTGTTCTTTTATATTGTTAGACATTAATTATGACAACTGCTATTACACTATGTAAATACTAGTGTTCTGATTTTAGAGATAAGGAACAGACGCCAAAGATAAGGGACTTTTTTCCGAGTCCCAGTATTAAAATAGAAGCATCAGTTTTTTAGTAACATGATTTCCTTGAAAAACACAGAAATGACTCTGCTGTTTAGAGTTGGGCCAGCCATTGCTTGTCCTCTTGGAGTCATTTGGGAGTGCCCTTCTGGCCTGGTGAGGTAAAAGATGTCCAATCCCCTACTGTCCCCACCTGGGTTTGGTTTCATGCCCTCCAGTCTTAGGGGCTGGGCCCTCCTGCACTCCTTATGCACAGGGATCTGGAACTCCTCCCCTCATTTAGGGCGTCCCAGGAGTTGTCCCCTCCCAACAACATTGCACAGATCGGCGACCCTAAGGTAGTCTCCAAGGCTGTGGGACATCAGGGAGTCCCATGCATGGTCCTGTTGTGACTGGGCTGGCTCGTTGCTCAGGTCAGATCCCCTGACTCACTCCTACTGCACAGCCAGCTGAACAGACACCATTACTTTCCCTTGAATGTGTCCTGAATCCAACATTCCTTACTAGTGTGAACCATGCAAAATTACTACCATTTGACCATTGTGAGCTGCAAAAATGAGTTTCAGTTTAACTCTTCAACCACTTCTTGTAACATCTGGGTCATATCTCTTGCTCATTTTCTCTTGGGTTTATTTACATTATGAATTTGAATGCACTTGTATACTAGAGATATTGATCTATTATACTTGGTAGACATTTTCCTAGTATATTTTTTTATTTGTAACTATTTAGGATTTAAAATGTTTAAATATTTGAATACATTTGGTCTTTTTCTCAGAGCTTGTTTTTGTAGACAGTATTGCATATCTTTCAGCAGGCACCTCAGCTGCCCAGGCCTGTCCGGAAATGAGCTGATCTTAACTCAGAGCGTAGCTGTCACTTTTCAAGCTCTGAGAGCAAATGTCAGCTCTACCCCCTGCAGGTGTGGACTCAGTCCCTTGTGAGAGAACTCAATCAGGAAATACCAGGGACTCTCAGTTCCTGCCAGCGGAGAAGAACATCTAGATTTGTAAGGCCGTCTGCTGAATGTGCATATCAGCCACTCATAGATTTTCTAACAACCTTCACCTGGTATCAGACTAGATAACCAGTAGACTAGTATCTAAACTACACAGGCATAGCTCATTTTATTGTGCTTTGCTTTGTTGCCTTTTTTTTTACAAATTGAAGGTTTGTTGCAACCCTGTGTTGAGCAGGTGTATTGTTGCCATTTTTCCAGCAGGCTCAGGTGATTGTTATCATTTTTTTAGCAATAAAGTGGGGTGTTTATTTTATTTTATTTTTTCAGTTTCAGTTTACATTCAGTATCATTTTGTATTGGTGTCAGGTGTACAGCATAGTTGTTTCACAATTATATGCTTTACAAGTGTTCCCCTGATATATCTAGTATCCAGCTGGCACATACATAGTTATTACAAAATTATTGACTATATTCCCTATGCTGTACTTTATATCCCTATGACTATTTTATAACTACCAATTGTGTTTTTTTAATTAAGGTACATACATTGCTTTTTTAGGCATAATATTATTGCACACTTAATAGACTACAGTGGAGTGTAAACATAACTTGCATATGCATTGGGAAACCAAAAAACTCAGGTGACTTGCTTTATTGAGATATTCACTTTATTGCGGTGGTCTGGAACTGAACCCGTAATATCTCCTAGGTATGCCCATATTTTTTCATCTTCCCCAGAAATACCTTCACTGACTTGCAATTATATGATCTCATTCTCTTTAAAGGATTTTTCTAACAACAGTCACCTGAAAGTCCATAATTGAAGATGACCCCTAACTTATCCAAATATTCCATATTTTGGAACTCATGCTGAAATCATTTCTCTGTCATTTTATTTCAAGAACAAGATTTGACCCTGTAGTTGGGTTATTCAGGGACCAAAATTTAATCAAAGGCACCTTAATTAGAAAAATGTTGTCACATCAGGACTCGTGGCAGTAATTAGAGCACCTCAGGCCTGAGAGCAGCTTGGGTCTCGGTTCTTTCTTTATTCCTTGTTTGTCTGTTTGGGTATTCTTTTGGAGATGTGAATAAATCCAAATTAAATTTTAAAAGTTTGACTCACCTCTGAAATAGCACGAGTAATGTATGTATTTGGAGAGGTGCAGTTGCTGTTGAACAAGCCATTGTGAATATTCAAGGTAATTGAGGGTCCACCATAGGGAAGAGATGCACATTAGTAGATGTGAGTCTGGTTGATGGACCCTTATCTGTCACAGTGATTGGACCACTACATAAAAATGGGACTCTCAACATTTTGTTTTAAAAAAGTATTTTCATACCCACTAAGAACACTGTCCTGTGACTTGGACCTTGAAAACAGCTCATGATGAGGGTGCAGCACTTGGACACAGGATGGCTGTCTGTGTGGTGAGAGCGAGACTCCTTTCTTTGAGTGAGTGCAGGGTAGGAAGCGGTCTCCAGAGACTGTTGAGGAAGAGCAGGCCAAGTGAAAGGACGGACAGATTGGAAGTGAGTGAGTTGGGGGAGCACTGAGGTTGATATGCCTGAGCAGTGCCCAACCAGGGAGATCAGATCATCAAAGGCCTGTGGACCGGTCACTAGGATTTTATGGTGTCCTTTTTAGAGTATGCTTCAAAATGTTCCATTTGAATGCTGTTTTTGAGAGCATGTCACTGAACATTTTCATTTCCTCCTTTCACTTCCAGATTGCGGGATTGGGCCAAAACCCGCAGTCGGACATCCCTCGAGGGGTCCTGAATTGTGAGAGGGTGTAGGCCGGGCCAAGAGACCGCCCCCCCCCCCCCCCCCCCCCCCCCCC